CATGTGAATCAAATAATGCCTAAGCCCCGAGGGATGTGTATTCGGTCACCCCCTTATGTAAACAACCATTATGTTCTCTTAGCTCGATCCTATATTTAATAAAGTTACTCTTATGAGTAAAGTACTTCTTCAATCCACTCTCCACTCTCCCCTCTTTTTGATATATTTTAATAAAGTCACTCTTATGAGTAAAATACTTCTTCAATCCACTTTGGGTTATGTTCGACCTACACTTCCGACTTTTGGGGTAGCTCGAAATTTTCCCTTATTTGATGAAAATTAAAATTATATCTTCAATAGATTTTGATAAAAGTGATGATATATATTATTGAAAAGCTCTGAATCTAATAAAATATGTAATTAAAATTAATTATTTATTTTGATTTAAATTAAAATTTAGATTTAATCCAGGCCAAACATGTAATTTAAAAAATTTATGAACTCGGGCCCCTGCCTTGTAATTAGACAATTCGTTTGACAACAGAAATAAACTGCAAATCAGACCAAGAACAATAAGCAAAAAACATCTGTCAATTGCGGTTAAAATTTGAAATCAAAACCCTTCATTAATCGTCACAACTCCCTCCATTTCCTCTATATAACTTCTGTATATCCCTTGAATCAAATTCTTCAGTAATCTGCAAAATCAATTACTACCATCTTTTGCAAAAGATAATAATTTTTCTATAAAAATGGCGTCCTTAAAATCCCGTTTGGAGCACACTGTTACACCCACTGCCCTCAGATCGTATCTTGCAGAGTTCATTTCCACATTCTTCTTCGTCTTCGCTTCTGTTGGAGCCACAATGTCCACGCGTAAGTTTTCATTTTCTTGTTTCATCAAAGGGTTGGAACCACAATACCAGTGACGAAAATGGGTTAAAATCGACCCCATATTTGTTAAAAATTTGATTTCTAATTGATTGTTTTAATAGGGCTTAGTTTGTTATTGTTTTGCTTCAATATGATTCATTGTTCGTACCTGTGTCGTGATTACAGTGAAAATGATGCCGGATGCAGCATCAAATTCTTCCGGTCTGGTAGCTATTGCAGTTGCAAATGCCTTTGCATTATCAGTAGCAGTGTACATTGCTTATAATATCTCCGGTGGCCATGTGAATCCGGCTGTTACATTTGGAATGGCTATCGGAGGCCACATAAGCATTCCGATGGCCATTTTCTACTGGATTTCTCAGACCCTCGGCTCTGTCATAGCTTGCATTCTCTTAAAAGTGACCACTGTTGGACAGGTACTAAGAGTTGTAAATGCTTTAGAATGTACAGTCAAATGGGTAAAGCCACGTTGCCTGAAAGATATTAACAGGTTTCTTGACATAATGGGTGTTGACAAGATATGATTGAATGAAAAAGTTTACTATTTTAAACAATCTATTAATAGAATGTTATGTGACATTATGTCAATGATTATATCAACATCTATAGCACTGTAACATGATTGTCACTGGACACGACACTATCCGTTTGTGCATCTCTTTCTAGCAATGATCTCAAGAGTCTTTTCTTCTTATTTCATTTTTGCAGCACGTTCCAACGCACTCAATTCCACAAGAAATGACCGGTTTTGGTGCAGCCATACTGGAAGGCGTGATGACATTTACATTGGTGTACACAGTATATGCTGCTGCTGATCCGAGGCGAGGTTCCATGTCAATAATTGGCCCGTTGGCCATAGGGCTGGTGTCAGGGGCTAACGTACTGGCATCGGGACCTTTTACCGGTGGCTCAATGAACCCCGCCTACTCCTTCGGTTCTGCACTTGTTGGAGGAAGTTTCAAGAATCAAGCAGTCTATTGGATTGGACCATTGATTGGAGCAGCCACTGCAGGAATTTTATATGAGCATGTAGTTTTCCCTGCTCAACAAGAGCCTGATTCATTGAGGGGAATTCCTCATGGAGTTGAATTTTAATTATTAACTAGAGATTTCAATGTACTTTTATACTCTTCTAACTCAATACTCAACAGAGTGATGAGTAATGTAACATTACATTCCAGTGACAAAAATCTTTTTCTTGTGTTTTGATATATAGTAAAACCTAGATAAATCTCAAAGTAGTCAAAGATTGTAGACATAAATTAGCATAGAAACCTGGAAAAATTTAGAGAGAATTATTCAGATTTAGTTACAGCAGTGGGCGGAGAGTCAGAATCCAACGAAGCTCCATCTCTTAATACTACCATGTTTATTCATGCTAACACACACCCATGGTGACTGATCCTCACAAAGTGCGCAGGTCCCATGTGAATCAAATAATGCCTAAGCCCCGAGGGATGTGTATTCGGTCACCCCCTTATGTAAACAACCATTATGTTCTCTTAGCTCGATCCTATATTTAATAAAGTTACTCTTATGAGTAAAGTACTTCTTCAATCCACTCTCCACTCTCCCCTCTTTTTGATATATTTTAATAAAGTCACTCTTATGAGTAAAATACTTCTTCAATCCACTTTGGGTTATGTTCGACCTACACTTCCGACTTTTGGGGTAGCTCGAAATTTTCCCTTATTTGATGAAAATTAAAATTATATCTTCAATAGATTTTGATAAAAGTGATGATATATATTATTGAAAAGCTCTGAATCTAATAAAATATGTAATTAAAATTAATTATTTATTTTGATTTAAATTAAAATTTAGATTTAATCCAGGCCAAACATGTAATTTAAAAAATTTATGAACTCGGGCCCCTGCCTTGTAATTAGACAATTCGTTTGACAACAGAAATAAACTGCAAATCAGACCAAGAACAATAAGCAAAAAACATCTGTCAATTGCGGTTAAAATTTGAAATCAAAACCCTTCATTAATCGTCACAACTCCCTCCATTTCCTCTATATAACTTCTGTATATCCCTTGAATCAAATTCTTCAGTAATCTGCAAAATCAATTACTACCATCTTTTGCAAAAGATAATAATTTTTCTATAAAAATGGCGTCCTTAAAATCCCGTTTGGAGCACACTGTTACACCCACTGCCCTCAGATCGTATCTTGCAGAGTTCATTTCCACATTCTTCTTCGTCTTCGCTTCTGTTGGAGCCACAATGTCCACGCGTAAGTTTTCATTTTCTTGTTTCATCAAAGGGTTGGAACCACAATACCAGTGACGAAAATGGGTTAAAATCGACCCCATATTTGTTAAAAATTTGATTTCTAATTGATTGTTTTAATAGGGCTTAGTTTGTTATTGTTTTGCTTCAATATGATTCATTGTTCGTACCTGTGTCGTGATTACAGTGAAAATGATGCCGGATGCAGCATCAAATTCTTCCGGTCTGGTAGCTATTGCAGTTGCAAATGCCTTTGCATTATCAGTAGCAGTGTACATTGCTTATAATATCTCCGGTGGCCATGTGAATCCGGCTGTTACATTTGGAATGGCTATCGGAGGCCACATAAGCATTCCGATGGCCATTTTCTACTGGATTTCTCAGACCCTCGGCTCTGTCATAGCTTGCATTCTCTTAAAAGTGACCACTGTTGGACAGGTACTAAGAGTTGTAAATGCTTTAGAATGTACAGTCAAATGGGTAAAGCCACGTTGCCTGAAAGATATTAACAGGTTTCTTGACATAATGGGTGTTGACAAGATATGATTGAATGAAAAAGTTTACTGTTTTAAACAATCTATTAATAGAATGTTATGTGACATTATGTCAATGATTATATCAACATCTATAGCACTGTAACATGATTGTCACTGGACACGACACTATCCGTTTGTGCATCTCTTTCTAGCAATGATCTCAAGAGTCTTTTCTTCTTATTTCATTTTTGCAGCACGTTCCAACGCACTCAATTCCACAAGAAATGACCGGTTTTGGTGCAGCCATACTGGAAGGCGTGATGACATTTACATTGGTGTACACTGTATATGCTGCTGCTGATCCGAGGCGAGGTTCCATGTCAATAATTGGCCCGTTGGCCATAGGGCTGGTGTCAGGGGCTAACGTACTGGCATCGGGACCTTTTACCGGTGGCTCAATGAACCCCGCCTACTCCTTCGGTTCTGCACTTGTTGGAGGAAGTTTCAAGAATCAAGCAGTCTATTGGATTGGACCATTGATTGGAGCAGCCACTGCAGGAATTTTATATGAGCATGTAGTTTTCCCTGCTCAACAAGAGCCTGATTCATTGAGGGGAATTCCTCATGGAGTTGAATTTTAATTATTAACTAGAGATTTCAATGTACTTTTATACTCTTCTAACTCAATACTCAACAGAGTGATGAGTAATGTAACATTACATTCCAGTGACAAAAATCTTTTTCTTGTGTTTTGATATATAGTAAAACCTAGATAAATCTCAAAGTAGTCAAAGATTGTAGACATAAATTAGCATAGAAACCTGGAAAAATTTAGAGAGAATTATTCAGATTTAGTTACAGCAGTGGGCGGAGAGTCAGAATCCAACGAAGCTCCATCTCTTAATACTACCATGTTTATTCATGCTAACAGATTTCGGATCTTTAACAGGCAGAGCTTGATCCATGAACTTGTTTTGAGGTTTAAATTACCGACTTGCATTTAAGAACAACCATTTCCCTTTTCTCATCCACATGCCACATGGTGATGCAAGCCCTTCTAGAGAGAGAAGGCATATGATCATCATTAGAACAGGTGAAAGCAGTGGGCGTAACATGATCTTCCAAATCCTGGCCATTTAACAACTAGCTTTAATCTTCTGTGATAGACCATTTCACCAAATTCTATGTATTACCTATCTAATCAACAGAGAATCCACTAATTTGCATCTACAACCTACTCGACATGTTCAATAACTAGAAAAACAGAATTTTTCAAGTAACAAACATACCTTTGATTCATCAATCTATGATCAGTACGCAATCTAATTTCCCACCGTCTGCCCACTAGAAACAGACAATGTGTCATGCTCAATACACTGCACATAGTAAACAAACCATTTAGAATAACAGTATGTGGTGACAGTGCTCACATCTATGAATAACTAGAAGGCCAGGCAGGTATCAGCTACCTCAAATGTTTAGGAATATATATTACCTGGAGTAGATAATTGTGTAGCCAATCCAGTTTTTTGGGGGAAGGTTGTTGCAGATATGTTGACAACTGTTAAACCCTGCTCACATAGTGAAACATAATGAGCATTAAAGAAATATTACATGTTTGCCCTAGAATGCAACTTACCAAATAAATGACTTGCTCAACTAATATGAGAAACTCCTCCCATATCTTTATTTTAACTGTTAAAGATAAATTGTCATACTTCCCACTTTTGAGTGGAGACTGTGATGGCAAAGTTATCTGAATCTAAAATAGATGGGTACAATAATCACAATCTGCTTGAATATACTTTGAAAGGTAATGCTGGATTGTTTTTAAGTTGCTTATTAGCTTATCTTTGTCCTGGAAAAAATATCAGAAAGAAGTGCATTTGTCAAAGATACATAAGAAACCCATACAGATAACGACTGCATAGACATTGTAGAACTACCACATCAACGAAAATTTATAGCCAACAAAGAGGGGATGAATTTATTTATCTATCGTTCTCTTTTCAACATGTCCCTCACTACATGGAAGGTTTTCGTGAAACGGGTGCTGGTGAGATTTAGCCTCAAGACTGTTGCTTACTCTAGTACCTTACTACTGAATTACAGATCTATCTAAAAGCTTAAAATAGTAGCAAGGTGATGAATTTTGTATTTATACTTTAATTTTTCTACAAAAATCAGTTAAAATACTAATAAAAGTAAACAAAGAACAGAAACAAAATCTCATTCAAAGACATTTGGAGCCTGCAATTGGATTGAATTTGAAGCAAGTACGCTAGCTTGGTAAATAATGGAACCTTAATTGGATATTTTTCACAGCTACGAGTAGACATCTGTTCCTCTTCCTCTAGCAATGCCTGTGCAAGAGCAATAAATTGATTAGGAAAAATCTTACGAAGAAAATAAGGCTTGAATAATAGAGGCTTAAGTTTCTCATTATGGTAACAGAACTGAGGCAATTTTAATCCACCTAGTGATCAAAGTCACCAATCTTTAGGATTATTGGAACTATTACGGATTCAGGACCAGACTTTTCTCTTTTGACTGAAGGAGCGTTGTCTGCTTTCAGAATCATTAATAGTTTCACCTGTGATCCAAGTAAAATTTAGGAACAAAAATTTATCCTAACAAAAATGAATCTGTAATAGTTTCACCTGTGATCCAAGTAAAATTTAGAAACAAAAATTTATCCTAACAAAAATGTTCTTGTAAAGAAAACATGGTACTTAACTGCCTAATGCCAGAACTACACAACAATGTTCAGCACAGAAAAGAACAACAGTTTTCACCTTTATTATCAGGTAGGCTACTACCCATACCCACAGATTTCAGATCGTCGGCAACTCCATCTACGGAACATATTATTTCCCCTGATCTCCCTTCCTGGCGACTGGAATCACTCTTGCCTTGACTACCAGATTCAGAACTGGAATCGCTCTCAACTGCCATTCCAATTTTACCATTCTTCGAAGGCTTCTCTGCATCTATTGCTGGCAAGGCAGTCCATAATTTATTTTCATCGTTTATTAAGTAGATACTTGTGTAAATTCTTTTAGACTGAATGCCTTGCCCGTATTGGGCCTCTTCCATTAAATAGCAATATTACATGCATCTTAAATATGAAAATTATAATTACAATATTTTACAATCAATCGTATATGTATAATTATGGTATAATAATATTTGGTTGCCAAGCGTAATCGTTTTCAATCTCCATTGACATCCTCCCTCAAATTGATGTTGGACGATCAAGAAGCATCAATTTGCTGAGGAATTGATGTCGTTGTCTTGTCATCGCTTTAGTGAACACATCAGCAATTTGAACATCAGTAGTGATGTGTGGAAGGGACATGATGCAACCATCGTAAGCCTCACGGATCTAGTGACATTCCACTTCAATGTGTTTAGAGGGCTCATGAAATACAGGATTAGCAGAAATTTGAATGGCACTAGTGTTATCAGCATGAAGAAGAGTAGGTTCAAGCGAAGGGCACCCAAGCTCTGAAGACCTCGTAGCCAAACAATCTCACAACAGGCAGAAGACATGGCACGATACTCAGATTCAGTAGAAGATTTAGAGACACGGTCTTGTTTCTTACTTCGCCAAGAAATAAGTGCACTGCTAAGAAACATACACCAACCTGTAATAGAGCGACGAGTATCCGCACAACCAGCCGAATCCTCATCACTATATCCTACCAAATTTAGAGAAGAATTGACAGGAAAGAAAAGTCCCCTATCAGGTGTACCCAATAAATATCAAATAATGCAACGTACTGCAACCAAATGGAGATGTCGTGGAACATGCATAAATTGAGATACTTGTTGTATGGCAAAAGAAATATCAGGCCGAGTAATAGTGAGATAATTCAGACTGCCCACTAGTTGACAATACATAGAGGGATCATGAAGAAGATCACATTCTTCCTTACGATACTTCACATTCACCTCCAAAGGAGTATCAACGAAGTGACCATCCTGAAGTCCAGCTAAATTAATCAACTCCTTTGTATACTTGTGCTGGTGTAAATAAAGTCCGACTGTACTTGAAAGCACCTTAAGACCTAAGAAAAACTACAAGGGACCCAAATCCTTCATATGAAAAGAATCTTTCAATCGGTTTTGAAGATGAGATATCAATCCAGAGTCAGTTCCGATAATAATAATGTCATCCACATAGACCAGAAGAAGTACAATACCCGCACTAGTGTTAGAGATGAAAAGAGACAAATCATATTTGCTCTGGGTAAATGAGAAACCCAAAAGAGTAGAGTGAAACTTGTCAAACCAAGCACGAGGAGCCTGCTTCAATTTATACAATGAGCGTTTAAGCTTACACACATCAGAAGATGACAATGAAAAAAGGCCCGCGGGAGGTGTCATATAAATTTCTTCTTTAAGGTCGCCATGTAAGAAAGCATTCTTGACATCCATTTATCGCAAATACCATCCCTTGGAGGCAGCTATAGCCAGTAGAGTTCAAATCGTTGTCATTTTAGCAACCGGAGCAAAGGTCTCCTCATAGTCTACGCCATATTCTTGATGATTTCTAAGAGCCACCAATCGAGCTTTATAACGTTCAATCGATCAATCAGAGTGGAACTTAATAGAGTAGACCCATTTACATCCAATAGTTCTAATCCCAGGAGGACAATGAACAATATCCCATGTGTGGTTCTCTTAAAGAGTCTGAAGTTCTTCTTTCATAGCTTTCTCCCAGCATGGCTGGGTAATAGCCTGAGAATAAGAAGTAGGAACTGTGACATGAGATAAAGTTGTAGAGTAACCATACCAATTTGGAGGCTGAGTACTGTGATTGGATCGTCGAAGAACAGTAGAGTCCGGAACGAGATCAAGTCAGGAACGAACAATAAGTCTTAGGACCGCCGTCTCCTATCTACCATGCTTGGTTTAAAACATTCAGTGGAGCAAGAGTTATCCTCAAAGGTAATGAGTGGAGCTAAATCAGAAGAGTCAACAACACTTTGCTAGAAGTAATACTGATTCTCAAAGAAAGTAATATTTTGAGATATATGGAAGCAATGCGCATCACCATTATAACAAACAAAACCCTTCTGAGCAATATTGTAACCCATAAAAATACATCGTACAGATTGAATACTGAGCTAATGACGTTTATGAGGAGGCAAATGAACAAAGCAAACACACCCAAAAGTATGTAACATGTCATAACTAGGATGTGTACCGTACAGACGAAAATGAGGCGAGTCAAAGTTCAAATGCTGAGCAAGAAGTCGATTAATTAGGTATACGGCTGTGAAGAGGACTTCGACCCAAAATCTATGCGAGGCTGAAGATTCCAAAAGCAACACTCGAACAACATCTGGTAAGTGACGATTCTTTCTTTCAGCTACCCCATTCTGCTGAGGAGTATATGAACAAGAGCGTTGCAAGAGAATACCCTTTTGTTGCAAGAAAGTCTGACAATCATGAGACATATATTCTCCTCCGTTATCGGATCTTAGAATTTGAATGCTAGTAGAGAATTGTGTCTCAGTGTAGGCTACAAATGTCTTAAGAACGGTGCTGACTTCACTTTTAGAACAAAGAAAATATATCCAAGTGTAATGACTATAATCATCAATAAAGGTCACAAAATATTTATACTGTGCATATGAGGTGAAAGGTGTTATACCCTAAATATCACTATGAATAATTTTAAAGCATTTATCAGCACGACTGTCATGAGTGGGAAACGAAAGAGTTTTACTTTTCCTAAGCTTACAAGTATCACAATCAAACTTCATATTTGAGGATTGAGACTGTGCTTTATTACCCAAAAAACCACATTTCAATAAATATGACAAAATTAGAGTGTTTGGATACCCTAATCTTTTATGCCAAATTTCATGCTTTTGTCCAACACTAAGATAAGCTAAAGACATAGCAGTAGGAATAGTAAACTGTAATGGAAACAATCTTCCGACTTTAGGCCCCTTCCGAGTACCTTTCCCAATCCTTGATCCTACAAAATACAACCAACATGAGAGAAACATACATCACAGTTATTATCAGCTAATTGACCAACTAAAAGCAAGTTTGTAGATAAACCCAGAGACACAAAAACATTATTAAAGGAAGGTCCAATAGCGCCAACAGCAGTAATAGGAAGGGTACTACCATTAACAATCTGAATATGCTAAGTACCAGTATAGCGTCGGATGTTATTTAAGGAAGCAGAACTACCTGTCATATGGTTTGACA